TGGTTAGAGCAGGGGGGGTTGGGAGGCAGGACGCCTGGGTTCTCTCCCTGGCTCTGGGAGGGGAGTGGGGGCTGGTGGTTAGAGCAGGGGGGGTTGGGAGGCAGGACGCCTGGGTTCTCTCCCTGGCTCTGGGAGGGGAGTGGGGGCTGGTGGTTAGAGCAGGGGGGGCTGAGAGGCAGGACGCCTGGGTTCTCTCCCTGGCTCTGGGAGGGGAGTGGGGTCTAGTGGTTAGAGGCCGGGGGGGGGGGCTGGGAGGCAGGATGCCTGGGTTCTCTCCTGGCTCTGGGAGGGGAGTGGGGTCTAGTGGTTAGAGCCGGGGGGGCTGGGAGGCAGGCTGCCTGGGGCCCATTGGAAGAGGGAGGGGTTGGGGGGTGCGGGCAGGGCTGACCGAGTCGGGGGGCAGAAGGATCCGTGGTTTCACACCCCCCCCGTCTCTCCCCCAGGCAGGAGCTGCAGGGCTACGCCCGGAAAGACGCTCTCACCTACTGGCAGTTTGAGGGTTACCCGAAGGCCTGGGGGCACGGCCTGAGGGACCCCTCCCTGGGCAAGGACGCGGTGCCCCCCCTCCGGCTCCCCGGCCCCCCACGCGACCCCAGCCTCTTCCCGAGTCCCACCCACCCTCCCCGCCTGCCCATGCTGGCCCCTGCTGTCCCGCACCGGGGGGCGCTGAGCCTGGCGCAGGAGTCCTACGGGTCCCCCCGCCGCACCCCCAGCACCCGGGGGCCCCCAGCCCGGCCCCCCACCCGTCTGCCCCCCCGCCAGCCGGGCCCCAGATCCTGGCAGTGCCCCTGATGTACCGCACGGAGAGCCAATGTTATGGGAGCAGCAAACCCAGGCCTGTCTGAGGGGGGGCCCCCCATACTGTGCACCCCAACATGCTACAATACGTCACCCCTGTGTTCTCTGGTCTGTCCTCCTTGGGGGGCAGGGGGCTCGCTGAGGCCTGGTCCTTTCTCTGCCCCCCCAGCCGCCAGGACACCTGGGTTCTATTTGGGGGAGGGAGGGGCTGCCAGGTATGATTCTCAGAAGAGGACTCAGGTGTCCTGACTCCCAGCCCCCCTCCCTCGTGCCCTTGGGGGGGATTTGTCCGGGGGCGCCGCTGTTGTGGCCTGCAGGATGTGGGGATTTCTCACCTGGCAACGCAGCTGGCGCCAGCCCCCGGCTTCCGGGGGGAGCCCGGGTTGCCCTTGGCACAGGAGACATGAGCCGAGAGGGTGAACTGCTCTCCCCCCTCCCTTCCCCAAGCCGGGAGAGAACCCAGGAGTCCTGCGCCCCAGCCCCTTCCCTTCCCCGAGCCGGGAGAGAACCCAGGAGTCCTGCGCCCCAGCCCCTTCCCCGAGCCGGGAGAGAACCCAGGAGTCCTGCGCCCCAGCCCCCCCCTGCTCTCACCCCCAGCTCCCCTCCCCTCCCCGAACTGGAGAGAGAACCCAGGAGTCCCCAGGGGCTGTGGCACGCGAAGGGGCTGGCTGCTCGGACCCCTGGGTTCAACCCTGGCAAACAGGCCGCGTGGGCCGAGCGCCCTAGTGACGTTGGCCTTGAAGTCGCCCCCTCCCTGTGCCGGGGGGGGGTGGCCTTGGCTCCTCGCTGCCGCCAGCTGGAGTGGGGTGGGGGGGGGACATGGGCACTGGGGGGGGCAGGAGCTGCTGGTATAAGAGGGGCAGCGGGGAACGCCTGGTGCTGATTTCCTCGGGCACCAACGCCAGCATGGGACCCCCACAGGTGAGAGCAGCGGTGGGGGGCTGGAAATGGGGGGGGCAGGGAGCCGTGCGCTGGCCAGGGGGGGCGTGGGGGCACATGGGTCCCTGCTGGGGAGGGTCCGGGCCCCAGCTAACAGTGCCCCCTTCCCCGAGCCGGCCCCATCTGCCCCCCGCTCTGTCCTCTCCCCCAGCGCGGGCTGCAGGCTC